CCTTAAAATATTCGGGTAAATAAACAAGTAATTTTTAACTTAAATTCTCATATCTTAAAATTTTAAGATTATCGTTAATTTTTTCATGATGTGTACATATGATTCTGATTCGGATATAATTTATTTTTTTTTCATTACACTCGCTTGAACTACTTTTTGAGAGTAAATTTTTGACGCGTCAAACCATTATTGATAATGCATTAACCCGTGGTTACCCAGTTTTTTGTAATGTCGTATGTTAAGTTAATTTTATTTTATTATTATGCAAATTATGAATGATTTAACCCATTTACGACTTTGACTTAACAAATTGATGGCCATATTTTAACCCATTCGTGGCCTATTTTTAGAGTCTTTCCCCAGTTAATTTTATTAAAAATAGGTAAGCTTAGGTAACAATATAATCAGAAAGAACAAGTGCTTTCGTTTCTAGGATAGCTTTATCACTGAACTAAGTTAAAAGCGACAAAATGTAATAACAGTAACAATAGGGCTATTCGCGATTCGGTGCATAAGAGCTGAAAAATTTATGCAATTGCAGAAATATGCCATGGATTGTGAGCGACCTTTATTAAACTGTCATGGTAAAGCTTTTGCAAAACAATTTTTGTGCATCAGCTTTGGTTTTCTTTATGAATGCAATGCATAGCATTTTTATGCTATGGATTTTCGGTATTGCAAATTTGCCAAGCCATGACAAATGCAAATGCGTGTATTTTGTTTGTGTATTGCAAATAATTTGCAATACAAATTTGCAATGCAATGATGCTAGGCCATTTGCACCGGATCGCGAATAGCCCTATTGTGTGTATTTGTTGAAATCGGAAAAGGAAAGAGCATGAAAGAGGGAAGTCATTTATCACGATCAGTTAGACATAATGGGATATGTGCATGGTCAAAACATAGTTGAAAGTAAAAATAATTTCAGCTCCCTAACAACACCTTTTAAGAAAAATTTGTCAAAAAATTCGAAATTATTTTTAGTTTCACCTTTGATTCGACTAAGAATATGACGCCTTATATTTTATAGTTGAAGAGATTTACAAATTAAGCTTTTGTATGCTCGAATGAATTAATTAAAAAATCAACTTTATTTCAAATCAGCTACATAAAATAATTTAAATAATTAATCACAAATAAAATAAATAGTCAAAACTATTTAATATGTAAGTATCGTATAGTTATGATAAGCACTATTAAAATAATTTTAAATATGCAGTTTGTAACCGATTTAATTGTAGTACATTAAGGTCCAAGTTTGAAGTAGCTAGAACCACGTTCGACGATTTTTTTATATGGAAAAAATGAATGACACCTTCAACAAAAAAAAAAATTGCCAAAAATCAACGGCATGTCCTATCTACTTCAAACTGGCACTTTAATGCACTAAAGTTGAATGGGCTACAAAAATACGCACTCAAAATCTTTTCTAAATATCTAATTGAAAACATCGATTTATTCGGTTTTTGATAAGGAATAAACCATATTTTTTATAAAAAAATAATAATTAAAATCAAATAATGACCACTGGTAACAAGCGCGAGCAGGTATCAGAGGATCTGATGAAACTAACAATCTATTGAAACCGTTTTCTAAATTTTCCGTGCGACTCATTTTCCTACTAAATATAGACCTCTCTAAAGTTTCTAAAGTCCTTGTTCGAACTAAATCCGCTTTTTATTCATTGAGCAGCCTTAAAATAATAAACAGTTTAAGTTCGAAACGAAACAAAATTATACATAACCACAAGTACATTTAAAATCAAAGTGCAATTTTTAAAACCAATTTATTTAAAAATGCTCAAAGTGCTTTTGGTTTTGAACTCGAATTCTTAATAAGGAACATATTTTATTGCAGTGTAGCCGAATTTAAAAGCGCTTTGCTCATTAAAAAAAATATATATATATTTTTAAAAGTACACTTGCAAAAAAGGAGGTTAGTTTAGTTTTTTTTAACATATTTCCAAAAAAAAATACACTAAAAGTAATGGAGAAGACAAAATAACGAAATATAATACCGCTTTCTTACAGTAACAATTTGAATTTCACATTTTAATTTCTTAGCTTTGAAAAAACTATTGTTCAAATTTGTCAAGTTTAGACACGCATATCTTCCAGTCTAAAAACGATAGAAAGCTGAAAACTTACCCCCAAATGCAGAATTTAATGGGGAATAAACCCCAGCTCTTAAAAATTGAGTTTTGAGCACGCTTGGCCCCAGTGTACCGCGGCACGGTTAAATACTTAACGAATTTCAAAATGAAAAATAAACGGCTCTCCTTACTTTCGATATTCTTCAGTGCTGGGGGTGGTTGGAAGAAATAAAACTTTGACCACCCTAATATGTACATTAGGGTGGCCCACATTTTTTTTTCGTCCAGCCACCCCACAGATTGGAAGAATATCAAAAATAAAGGTACACGTATTTTTTTTTTTGAAATCGATTATGTATTTTACATGGGGAGAATACATTGCTATAAAATCGTTAAAAATTAATATTTTTTGATGGAATAATACTTCATAAAATAACACTATGATGCTTAATATTTTATGTTTTCATAACCACATCACGCACAACCAGCTCAATGGATGTGTTTGTTGAAGATCGCCCTATTTCAGAATTCGTTTCAAAAACGCCCTATCTCAGCTGCCGATTCAATAACGCCCTATTTCAGCACATTTTTAATAACTACATTTTGAAGTGTCATAGGTTGTTCTTCAACCAAATTTTGAGATAGGGCGTTTTTCAACACAACTCTGGAATAGGGCGCTCTTGGAAAGCTTTTTGAGATAGGATATGATGTTTGATTATCCTATGTATTTTTGGGCCACCCTAATGTAGATATCTACACATATAAAAGTATGATACAAAAAAGATCTTGTATAAAAGTACATATTTCAAACGAAAATAAACAAGTTCGCATCCTCATTGGCATGGATCCAAGCTGTTCGGTGGATGATTCAGCGGGCATAAAAATACATATGCTTGTGTGGTTGAACTGTAGAAAGGCCCCAACTAAAATTTTTCATGCTTTGCAGAAGAAGCAAATACAACTTTTTTAAAAGGTCAAACCCTTCATGTATGTGTAATTCTGTGTTTTTTTCCAAAAAGTGAATAAGTGATGATAAATGCTCGTAATTGATATCGCAACCAGCGTTGCCACAGACACATTTTTTTTCCAACCAAAATTTCCTACCATAACCTACCAAACACTTTTTCAGTTTTAATATTTTTTTCAATATCAAATTTATTAAAAACATAGCTAACATAACATTTAGTAAAACTAAAACACAGCTAGTACAATAAAAAAAAAACGATTTATTTTACTGTACATACATACAAAACAAATTAGCTGCATATAACGATTTAGTTTACTGTACATACATACATATCGTCATTAGATACGAATAAAGACGCGAGCTCAAAAGTTGACAGCGAAAAAAAATTTCGGCGAAGGAGAACTCTTAACATAGGCGAGGGCAAAGAAAGACGCGTTAACCCCTTTGACGGGGAAGAAAGACGAAGAAGACTTATTTTCGCGGTCAACTATGTTTGCGAGTATACGAATTCTCCAAAGAGTTTTTCCGGAATGATGTTGAATCCATGTTTACACGTCTTTTTTCGCAAATTTTTTTTCACGCATCCTTTTTCGCCGTCAAAAGACCCTAGCGTCTTTATTCGTGTCAAGTAACTATGTTATTATTATTACGTCGGAGATACCCGCGTTGCGACTTAAGAAGATATATTGTGCTAAATCCTAATTGTAATCGCTCCAATATTAGGCTATTTAAAATGTTCAGCACTTTGGATGATGTTCCATGTTCCAAATTTTAGATGGAGAAGACAATCCTTCCCCAAGGTGCATCAATCTACTATTCTTGCTTCGTGGACAGGCACATTGAATATACTCTGGGATTTCCTTCACCGGCCCACAAAACCTACAGTCAGTCTCTAGAGAAAGACCCTTTAATTCAATCGGTACGTTAACTGGCAGTGTGCTGTCAGGTGGCCAGTAAAAGTTTTAAGTTCAAGGTATCTTTCGGAGTTCCTCCTGAAAAGTTATGAATCTCTTTGATTGTCTTATTCGCTTCGACTTCCGCCAGTGTGCAGCAATTCCCAGCTAGCTCCTAAGTAGGTCTGCAGTGTATCGCACAAAGGTTCGGAACTATGCAAACGCATTTGGGCTCCACTCTTTGCAAGACAGTCAGCCCTTTCGTTGCCTTCAAACCCTTCATGTCCCTGATCCCTCCACAGCGGTACGCTATTGTGGGCTACCAGGTGGCTCACGAGTTCACAAGCCTTGATGCCGTTTTAAGACTCTAAGGCTTCTAACGCTGCCTGAATATCTGACATAATATTTATTCTGGCCTCATATGCCTTATACGATAAAATTCGCGAACACAGACTTCTGTTGCGAAGACCTCCGCCCAGAATATGGTTGGGTACAAGCCCATAGGCAGACTTTCCTGGAATCTTGATCCAAGTACGCCATAAAGTATATATGGATGTTCTTATTGTATATTGTCAATAATAAGGGTATACGTTTGTACTGAGGAATCATGTTTGCGGCCGCCGCTATACGAACGCACCGCTGAAATATTTTAGAGATACATATTTTCTATTTTTCTCAAATAACTATTACTCGTAGTCCCGAAACCTACCAAAATCCAATCAAGCCTACCAACCTACCAAATGGAAAAAAACCTACCAGTTTTGGTAGGAAAAGCCCATGTTTGGCAACACTGATCGCAAGCGAATAAAATTCGAGATTTAGTTCGACAAGACTCTCGCAAACGAATCGCTCTCCTGTAAAATTTGAGAGCCGCAAGATAGGCGGTTTTGCAATTGGTCGATGGGCGGTTTTGCAAAAACATCGACGATATGTACATACATATCTATGTACACTATGTGAGAAAATTAGGGGCTCTAATTTTTTCGTATATACGAAATTAATTTGACCACTTTTTGAAATATTTTCGAAGTTATACATAGCAATTAACTTTTTCTTTTTTTTGAAATAATTTGGGCGTTCTTTTTATGTTTATTTTTTCGCGATTGGTAAGACTCGCAATGAGACGAAAGCTATTAGGATTTTTCTCTTGATGTGCAACTTTTTTGTAGAAAAACATTTATATTTTTTGCAAAGCGTATACGGCACACTTTTCCATAAGGGAATATGTTGCACGTTAAGAGAAATCGGTAATATTTACAAAAACATATATGTATGTACTTATGTATGTAGATACAATAAAAAAAAATAAGCATATCCTTCCTTTTTCCTCCATTCAAATTAGGCGGTTTTCTTTGGCCGGAAGCCGAATATAGCACTCCCAACACGAACAATGGTACTGCCTGCTTCGATCTGGAAAATCAGAAAAAAATGCGCTTGTGTCTACCAAGAGATTATAAATGCAGGTTTCCACGCCTGTTTGGTTATTAGGCTGTCCGGTTATATTGTTTGTCCAGTTTAGTACAATAAAATACACTAAAGAATAATAATTTTTAACCAGACAACCTGATAACCAGGCAAGCGTGAACAGCCACAATAAGAGTGTTCGCTATGCAAAAAACTTGTACAAGTTGGTACCACTAGTTACCAAATCGTGTTCGTTTGGCCAAAAACTCATTAAACTTGCAAGGAAAGAGCACAATTTTGACATTCCATTTGGAGGGGAAGTTGAAAATTCGTGCTGGAAAAATTTGCCAGGATTGCGGCACACGGTTGCATTTTTTTCAACATTAATTTGAATGAACAAGTTCGCAAAATTTAAAAATGAACAATCTTGTTGCGATTTACTAATGAAAGAAGTATCTAAATATCTGTTTATTCAATTAATTTCATTAATTCCAAACAATTGAATTGTACTCGGCTGAAAAAGCTGTATTCGTAATCGGAACGCAGTCGACACCACTGTTAATATTTTGCTCGAAATGCAACCGTGGACGCTAGCTGACAGTGAGGTTTCAAATGTTTGCTAATTCCTGTTCGCGCAAAACTTAGTAAGTTTTTTTCTTTAGGAGAGTAGGATACCTTATTCTCTGAATTTTGTTACTGGCTTATTCTTACTGGCATTTGCATAGCGAACAGAACTTATATGTTTGGCATACATATGTATGTATGCTCATACATAAGTCTAGACTCTAGAGGCTGGTTTTGGTATAATCACGAAATTGCGACTTTCACATTTATTTGTCAATAATATTTAAGAATTTTTCACCAAATATTACATTTCTTTTCTGAAATAAGGTTTAAAGGTACTACAACAAAAGACATAGAATTTAAATTTCTAAAAATTGTGCAAAACTCCGGAAAATTCAATAAATTTGCAGACAACAAATTTTCAAGTCTGTTATCAGATTTTTTAGAACAATTTTCATTACGAAGTTTTGTAACTCATTAAATTTTAGTACAATAAAGTGCAGTTTTAAGTGATTTTTGACGTTTTTTTTGCTCATGGTGTTATTTTCTGCCATACAAAAAAAAAAAGATTTGGAAAAACTGCATTTTTATGGTATTATGAGCCATATTTTTACAAAAACTTGGCGAAAAGAAATTAAAATAAAAAAAATCTCACACATTGTGAAAAATTCTCCGTATGTATACTTATGTATGTATGTAATTAACTAATGTGCTTACCGCTTTTTCAAAATCATCCGACATTCCCATTGATACTTGCACGGCATGTGGTTCAAGGGCATTTTCTTCGAAAATTAGGCGATGTACATTCATCAATGAGATAAAATCTGGATTTGGACCACTCGTATAGTCAAAGCCAAATGCTCCAATGGTCATAAGACCCTCTAATTTAAGGTTTTTTAAATTATTATGGATATATTTGAAAAGCGCAGGGGTTTCACTGGGTTGCACGCCGTTCTTTGCTGGTAAAATTTTTATTTTTATTACTTTTAGTATCATTATTGTATTAATTTTTCTATTATTTTTTTACCTTCTTCACCACTTGTATTGACTTGTACAAGAACAGATAGAGGAGTTTTATTATCACCATGTATTTTCCCCCACGCAGAATCTAAACCAGTGGCAAGCTTTTCGCTATCGACAGTTTGAATCATGTACAGATTTGGAAGTTTTAGTATCTAAAGATAAATATCACATTATGGCATTATTCAATCATCATATACATGTGCATCTAGCGTGCAACCTAACAGACTTACTTTATTAATTTTATTATTTTGCAGATGACCAATAAAATGCCATTTGATTTCCGGACAATGTTGCAAAATGTCAGGATGCTGTGCCTTTTCCACCAGCTCTTGCACGTAGTTCTCACCGAAATGACGTTGACCAGCCGTATACGATTCAATTATCATTTCAACCGGCTTTGTTTTGCTGACGGCTACCAGCAGTGGCTTAGCCATTTTCACATGCTCCTGGAAAAAATGTATGCATCAAAACTTTCTTCCCCAACAGTAGTTGTCTGAAACAATACCGCGGGCCGACGAGCATATGCCTCTTCGATGCGTTTCAATATGCACTCAATGCCTGCTTTAACATTAACCTCCGACATTGCTCGTAGCATAGAGACAAAGATACAGCGTTATCATTTATTAGAACAAATTTCGGAAAATAATTTTAACTTCGATGGTAAACAGATGATGGAAAACTTTACAAAAACTGCTGTGATAAGGAAATGACAAAACAAAGGTTAAAATCAGCTGTTTTCCTGCAACGGTGACATCTATTCGTGAGAATGTACTTAAATAGAGTAATCTTCAAAGCCCTAAGCATAGATGTCGCCCCTACATCCGTTGGTGAATTGTTGTAAATTTTGTAATTCTGATTGTACACGGTTAGCTACATATATTATTTTTACGCGGGCTTTATTTGTGAACTGACATATACTTGTTAGAACATATAATTTACACATAACATAAAATAATGTTTCTAACGAAATCAAGTCAATCCTTCATTCAAGTTTGGAATAGCGCATCAATTCATTGAAAAATAATAATAATTTGAACAAAAGTTGTTTGTCGGAAACAAAATTTGTTCCTACTACTCAATTTTATTTACAATTCAAAATCCCTGGGAACATAAGAAAGTGTGCGGTAATTCAGATATAAAAACAAAATATTGGGGCGTATTCTTGTTTTCAGGAAATTTTCCTATCATTTTCTATACAAAAATTTAAAGTTTTCGACTCGAACGAAAACAAGAATACGCCCCATTTTATCGATATTGTATCGAAACTCCTGTCATCGATATAAATTAGCCTATATACCGTACAACGATATTTATATATGTATTGAAAATCATATCGGTATTGCGCATCCGTACACATCATAAAAACAGGGGAGGTTCAGGAAATTAACGAAACACACAAAAATTATGTTATTTCGCGGTTAAGGCTCAATAAATCGATTTTCACACGCTCTGCGTTTTTTTGGAAAACTGAAAAATGGGAAAATAGGATGACGAAGGTTACTTACAGATAAAGTTGTGTGGTATTTTTTTGGCGCTTTATCCAATCCCTAAATATTACCATTTACCATTTAACGGGCTTGAAGATAACACAGCCACACAAAAAAAATTTGTGTTCTGACCCAAAGGTCTCACTATGTGTACTATATGTTTTTGGGGTCACTGAATCCGAATCCGAGGTCCATTTAACCCCATCAGTTCAGGGTTTTGATATAACCCCAGAAAACCAATATGGCGGACACCTTTTGGAAAAATTCATCGGATTCGCTTGAAACTCGTTACTCGGGGGTTTTCGGGGTCGCTAATTACGAATATGATATTATTTTTTCAAAATTCAAAATGGCGGATCCAATCCCAAAACTCCGGACTCCCAAAACCCCTGAGTAACGATTTTCAAGCGAATCCGATGAATTTTACAAAAATGTGTCCGCCATATTGGATCCGCCATTTTGAATTTTGAAAAAATAATATCATATTCGTAATTAGCGACCCCGAAAACCCCCGAGTAACGAGTTTCAAGCGAATCCGATGAATTTTTCCAAAAGGTGTCCGCCATATTGGTTTTCTGGGGTTATATCAAAACCCTGAACTGATGGGGTTAAATGGACCTCGGATTCGGATTCAGTGACCCCAAAAACATANTGGGGTTAAATGCACCTCGGATTCGGATTCAGCGACTCCAAAAACATAAAGTACACATAGTGAGACCTTTGGGTCAGAACACAAATTTTTTTTTGTGTGGCTGTGTAAGCAATATGAGTGTGAAACGAAACTTCGTCAGAAAGCACTTCCTAAAAATATTGAACGTATGTACATACATATGTACTATATACATATATATATATTTTTCCATAGGAAACATTTAATTAAAAAAAATAAAATAAAAAATAAAATAAAAAAATTTTGAAAGCCGTTTTTTTTTTCTAATCGAAAAACTCGAGAAAAATAATTTCGATATATCAAGGGGCGTGGCACCTCCCATATAAACTGAACTTTTCGCACAACATATCTCTGGAAAAATTCATCGTAGAGTGCTGCAACTTAGTACAGAGATAAATAATATCAACGCCAAACTCACGGAAAAAAATGGGAGTTATAGAAAAAGGGGGCGTGGTGCCTCCCATACACATTCTAATGGTAGAAATTCAGTTTGTATGGGAGGCACCACGCCCCGTTTTTCAAAAACTCCCATTTTTTCCATGAGTTTGGCGTTGATATTATATATCTCTATACTAAGTTGAAGCACTCTACAATAAATACTTCCAGAGAAATGTTGTGTGAAAACTTAAGTTTGTATGGGAGGTGCCACGTCCCTTGATAGCTATATCGAAATTATTCTTCTTCTATTATCATCCTTTAAGGGTCTAGAGTCGATATCCGAAATTTTAAAAATATCGGCAAATTAAAAATATTTTTTATTTAAATGTTTCCTATGGAAAAATGTTTATGAATAGTTTTTTAAATAATTACAGGCATTTGAAGTATTTTCCAAAAAAGTGGAAGCATTCAAACGTAAAATTTTTTTCTTTCATTTTTCAACATTAGTAAATAAAAATCCAGACCTTTTTTGAAAAATCGCCATGGAAAGAGCGACGCGAAATTTAATTGCCTTTTATTTAAAAAAAGAAATTTGAAATCGGTTAATATTTGGGCTCTCAAAATTGATTTGTCCACAGCAAATTTTTTTTGCCCCACAGTGCGCCGTGGTCAACTTGTTAGATCCGTGCCCTTTTTGGCCTTATTTTACATCAAATGGCATTTAATTTTTCAATGTGGCACTTAGTACCAAAATAGCGCTTTTCAATAATAATAATATTTCAATAATATATATATATTTCAATATAATATATTTCAATATTTCTAAAGATTATTCACATGGTTTATCTCATTTTGGTATTGCACTTTTGTTTTACAAATGTTGTTCTTATTTTATCGCTAAATGGGAAGGTATAAAAAGGATGGTGCATTTTTGACACTTTTATTTTTCTATTTGTCACTTTTTATCCTAAATATGGCACCTTATAGCTAAGGATAGTTGGCAGCCCTGTGCGCACTACCACTTGTCGCCATCAGAAATATTACGACGCCGTCAAATTACGTTACGGTGTGTATTGCCGTCATCTCTTTTGACCGCTATATTACGTTTCCGCTTTTGAGGAAACCAAAGCCTAAGCGCCAAATATTTTATCTATTTCTCATGCTGTATTTTGGAAACTTGAAAAGGGAATCAAACAAAATGATTATTTTAAAAAAGCAAAAACAGAAAAATTGTATTTGTCGTCAACAAAAATTTTAAGAAATTGATACAAAAAAATTTATTACCATAACGGGTCAGTATTCGCAGACTTCTTAGAAATATGACTTGCGGAATAGAAAATGCCCTCTGCTTTCTAAAGGGCATCGTAATTAAGTTGACAGTGGGCCCAATTTCATTTGTATTCTTCGAAATTTCCAAATTTGTGCTGGTGTTGGCTTTAGCATTCTGGATTACCGTTGGAATATTTTTATTGGTAAGAAATGAAGTTGTACAATGTAAGCCCTTGTAGAGAACCATATGTAAATCTTTTAGTGGGAAAGCATAATGCCCGAAGCAGCTTATCGTCTCTCCCAGGCAGCTGAAGCCGTTGTGGCTAACACAAGCGGCCTAACGCCAAGAGTTGAAAGCAAGGAAAACGTTAACGAATCGGGTAGTTATCCATTTGTTATTGATTTACCAAAAACTTCATCGTCTGTTGTGGAAACACAAATAAATGACGAATCTGTGCAGCAAGCAGCACCAATTGAGACATCGCCAGAAACAGAAGAACCACCATCGGCAGCAGAGTCTAGCAATCCTGTACAGCAACCTTCACCAGATACAGGCGTCGAGAAACCGACAGCAGACAACCCCGCGGAGGCGACCGAGTGATTAAACCGTTTTCAAAAGTCAAAACAATTGTCCGATAAAAGCATGGTAACGAAAAAATCATAAGAAAATGCATTTTTGAACAGCAGGAGCTTTTAATAAACGCTTTTAAATTACAATGAATGCATGTAAATAGTTAAGCGACGCTTTGGTAATTATGTACTTTGGTATTCTACACAAACAATAGCAATGCCATTCATTTTCATAACATTTGTTGTGTATAAGGACGAAGCTCGAAATTAATAGGATCTATTCAGTTTAACTTACTTAATACACTTGACATGAGTATCTGTTAAATGTAGTTCTGTGGCGAAAAAGAAAAAGTTTAGTTGGCTTGAGCAACAACGTCTTCCTCATTCCGCGAGATTACAATGCCTCTTACGTTGACATAGATGATATGTACATATGCATGTACATACTATGTAGGTATTAATTAAGCGGCACATATGTACATATGTTTATGCTCATACTAATTAAGCAATATACTCCTACATAGATATGCATTAATTAAGCCGAAGAAGCCACAGTCCAAGGCATCGAATGGAAAAAAAAAGATTGGGTTATGCTCATCATTCATGGTTCACAGACCGTTTGGTGTTAGCGGCACACCAACATGTTAGCGGCGGACATACATTGACGAGCAAAACTGTAACATGGTGTAACACTTTTTATTTCAGTCGCCGCTATATTTCCAAGTTTTAATGACTTTCATACTTTTGTTGTATATTCTTATTGGTACACCTGTACTTCTTCTCTCATGACGATTTGAAGTCAATACAACAACAGTAATAAAACCAGCAGACACAAATGTAAATTAAGGCAAATGTTATAGTTTTGCACTCATATATTTTTAACGATTTTCACGAAAAAAGAACTATTAAAACATGGTTTAGTACGCTTTTGGTTTTTTTAGTTCCTAGATGCGATTTGGCATACGTAATGTCTATCTCTGTAAAAATTCTGGATGTATAGCCTCCCATATAGCATTGGACGGACTTGGATACTTAGTAAGCTGCCCTTTATTTGATTTCGCAAATTCTCGATGAGATTAATGTCCGCGGATTGTGGCGGCCATTTCAAATGGGCAAATTTTTGTTTTTGTATCCAGTCTTTGCGAACATGTGCTACACTTAGGGTGATTTTTCGGCAGAAACTCTCACTTTTTAGACTATATCTTGCAAATTTTATTGAAATATGAACAGTTACTGTTGCTAATGCATAATGCGTACTAACGGGCCAACAACATTTTTGAAATTCAACCCAAAGCTATTATTGACCGACCACTGTGATTCACAGTTCGCCTTACATGATGCGCTTAGGCTTAATTTGGGTCTTTGATCCAATACTATGCCCGGCCATCTGATTGAAAGCGATTAATTTAGTCTTTTCAGACCAAATAACCTTCAATTAAATCTCAAAAATGTGTTTTTTATTGCATTCTGAAAGGCCTAACACATCCCAGTAGGCAACGGTCCGGTTTTCGTGCGATGCAGCAAAATGCTACCACTCTCGCACATGTATTTTGATCAAAATTGTCTTTTTCATCTTTTATGCTGCCTTGCGCTCAATTTGGCCATTATTCGCCTCGCTGGCTACTGATTTCCATTCAATTTTAATACCTTAAGCGCTTCTGTGATAGTGGCTGCAGCGTTACTTGCTACTAAGTTCACAAGATATCGGACCGTAATATTTTTTACAGACTTTTTTTGTGTCCTATTTAAGTAACACTTTAGGCTATATTTTTTTTGGAAAGATAGCGGTGGCTGAAATAAAAAGTGTTACACCATGTTACAGTTTTGCTCGTCACTTTACAATTTGAACAAATAACTTATCTCAAGTTCAGTTTTTTTTTGTTTTGTAGCGCACTAATCATTGTTCTGTTATCACTGGTATAGTTTTACTGAGTAAACGCTTATGCTGAGTTTCCACTAGGCATTTAAGTGGGGAAAATGGTAGGAACTTTCTCCTAGTTCCTCACCCGAGGATCCGCGCCTGTTTCCATATGACTTCGTGGATGAAAATGTTTACCTCAAATATTTGCGAGGTGAATTCATATAAGGTAGTGTTGCGATAACAACTGATTTCATTCGCCTCGGTACACACATGTCGGAACTTCTTATGAGTAAGTGTGAAAGGGATAGTCTTGGAACTTTTTTTCCCTCTTCCTCCTTAAGTGAAGAATAGCTGACATTTTGACATTTGTGTACCTAAAGCAAAAACAAAATACATTGAGCAATTTTCACGACCACGAATTTCACGAATTTATGCTTGGAATTGCTTATTTTGCTTATTCAGGTTTTCCAAGCTTAATTTAACAGCCATGCTTATTTTTCTACCTTCAACGTATAAAGCTAAGTACGGACCTTTTAAGAAAACGGTCAAGAAATAAATTCCTGGTATTTCATGTGTGGCTCCAAGGAATTTTGACATCTGATATTTCACAGCCTGCTGTCTATTTCCACATGAAATAATGGAACGTTGCAAACGTGGGTTACCTTGTGCTCTCTTTTCACAAAAACCGTAGAAAAAAGCGTAGCAAATTTCTTAAGAACTGCATCTGCCTTAAGGATGGTATGCAGCTCTCAAGAAATCGGTCAAGAAAAATGTGCCATTATTTCGTGTGTGTGTCGAAGGAATTTTGACGTTTTTGATACTTCACAGCCTGTTGCCTCACTCTTTCCTCATGAAATAATGGAACGGGCATACAGAAATACTGTTGCAAACCTGGGTTGCCTTGTTCTCTTTTTTCACAAAAAACTTTAGAAAACCGTAGTAAAAAGCGTAGCAAATTTCTTAAGAACTGCGTACTGCCTGAAGGAATTCGACTCAAGAAAATTTCTTAGCCATTTCTTGTACGTCATTTTGTACGGAATTTTAGCTTTTCTTGAGAACTGCATTCAGGCCTTTAAGGAAATTTGACACAAGAAAATTTGTTCCCTATTTCTTGAGGGTTTTTATACGGAGTTTTTGCTTTTCTTGAGAGCTGGGTACTAAGCTTAACAACCGAAATTATGCAACCATTACAAATAAGTTCGAGAAAGTAAATAGATATGTAAAAAATCTGCTTATATGTATGTAATTGCGCGCTTTTCATTACGTTTCAATAATTTGAATATTTCTAAGAACTACAATAATACAATATGAATTATATCTAAATTATGTACTACATATTCACGATAACTTTCTCAACGACAATTCTGTCACTTCTTCAATGGGATTTTTCATGGAATGGAAACGGTGGGAATAATTGTTTTTATGAAAAAAAAA